AAAATACCGGAAAATCAAATTAAAGTTTTATGAGCGTTTAAAGTTATTAAACTTTTACAACATTATTGGATATTCACTCGATTTCTCTTGTAGCGATTTTTTTTTTTTTTGTAATTCAAAAACGAATTACCGTAGACATTTGAAATTGACACCATATGTTTACTTCATTTATTCTTATACTTGGTAACATTTAAAAAAATATTTTGACTAGTTTTAAGCTGTTGACCGACATTTTCAATTTTCATTTTTTATCCATAAATGGCATTTCAATTTTATCTGTTGGGTCAAAATGCATGAATATTTAATATACAACTCTTGATATATTGTTACAATAGCAGTTGAAAAATATTAAACATACATAGGCAAGATTTTTATACGTTTTTAAAGTTCAAATTTTGACAATATTTATCAAATTGAAAATTGAAAATAGTTTTGTAGTTAAACATTTATAAAATTTTCAATTTTTATAGCTAGGGAATGGAAATTTAAAACATATTCCCATTTATGCAGTTTTTCGTCAACTAAAAAATCTAAAAAATATTTGAATACAGTTATTTTTTACAAACATTTTAAGTTATTTAACGTTACATTTTTTCGTTGTAATTCGATGCCAAAACAGCCAATTTTACATAATTATATTTAATATTTTTCCAGCACCCCTGAAAATTTAATAATCATATTAATTGAACTTACCGGCTACCATATTAACAATAGTTAATAACCATATAAAATATCCTAGACTGACATACCTACAATCTCCGCTCAGCAGCGTTTTTCGTATACATGATATCATTAAATTCAAATTTAATACCATCCATTACAGCGACCTCTTAGACGCTTAATGTACAGCAGAGTGACATTCACTTACCTGCTTTTTTTATTTATTTAATTATAAAATATTCAATACGTTAGCTAGTTTTTACGGCTATCATAGAGAATATAATTTATGATAATCGTTAGTTTAAATGTGATGTTGAACTACCCAACAGTTCTGCTAGAATCGTAATATTATATGAAAACAAATATGACACGTTCTACACTTTGTGCAATTTAATTTGCCTATCTGGTATTCCAGCAGGCGAAACGACTTGCGTGCAACAAAATTTAAAACCATCGTGGTAATCGATAATTTATAATGACAGTATATCGTTGTAATTTATAACTATGCTATGAAAACAGTCGTACATAATATTTTATCCAATCTCATTATAAACTCTAAATACTTGCAATATCTCTCATTCAAGTTATAATAATTTTCAAGCTTATAATATTATAATATTACTATCAATTACCGTAATATTGCACCACATTTTGAATTCTATTTTTCTTTTTTGTGCTAATGAATAAAATTGTTTCAGTTAGAACCTTGAAACCTTTATAGGTTCCTCTAAAGGAGTGGTTCTTAAACGTTTTTATTCGTGGAGCCCTTAAGTTGTTAAGAAATTTCTAGATTAGAAATTAGAAACGTCATAAAATATATATAATTCAAGAAAAATAATGCATGAATTATTTATTTTTTCATATTATAATCATAAACGACATAAAAGATAAGAGTAATAAAACCTTCAACCAACTCGCATCTATCATCGTTTTCGACAACAAAACAAAATATGTGAATTATTATTAATAAAATAACTACAATATACTTATAATTATTACATTATCATTTAAATTCAATTCAGATAAGTACATGAGCCTATAGTCTTAGAATCTTTGCTCTAAGGTACCCAAAAAACATATAACCATCCATGATTAAATAACTTTATTTTTCATTAAAAAAAATTGTTCGTTTCGGTGTAAAGTTACTCAGAGGTTGAGTTCCCTTTGAATCACTACTAAAAAATCTTGTTTTGTTCGTCACTGTGAAATATCATCTCTGAGGCAATATTAGGTATCGTTCATCAATTATTTAAGAAACAAAAATACAATATTCTTTTGTGTATAATACTCTTGTATTACTTAAAAAATATTATTTTATATTTTAATTCCTTTAATTTATAACTGAAATAAATGTGATCGTAGAATAACACCGGTACATTTAATGTATAAATATTTTAAAAGACAAATTTCATAAAAACACTATCTTTAATACAATAATATATGAAGTCAAATGAAATTATTGTAAATATTTTAGTTTATCTATGTAGTATATTCGGGATCCACCTATTAAATAAAATCATCTGGCAAAATTCAATATGGTATGAATGACGTTGTGTCACGCACCTACTCATATATCACCGTTTGCCTGAACTTTATCCGACTTCCTCATTCATCCAGGGGCGTCATTTCAACTTTTTGAAAAGTATGATAACAACTTGGAAGGCCAAACAATTTTCAGGAGGCCAATATATCATACTGTACTATAGACTTATTACATAATTTTGTTTTCTAGCTACGCTTGAAAACCAGAATCTTTATATTTTTCTTTTAATAATGTAATATACTATAAATATTGGATACCTATTAAAATACTAAGTTAGTACTTAAGTTTAAACACTTGTAGATACTATCGCTTATCGGTGTCGGCCTGGCACACCAAATGCAAGTGTATAAGATTTTTTAAGGTTTCCATTATGAATGGCCTCGGGCAGTCGGGCCCTGTAAACAAAAATTTTGCCTAAAACTTACATAAAGTTAAACATTTCAATAAATACTTTGCTTTCTAATAATATACACTATTATACCTAAAAATGTGTATTTTAAAAAAAAAAAATACTTGTCTTCACTAAAAGAACTAACGCAATGGGCCAGAAGTTTTAAATTATTACATTTTAAGTACATAAATAATGTATTTAAAACAAATACCGATATTCTCGATCATGCATAACATGTTTGGTATAAACCAACCTTTTTTTTTGTATTCAATTTAAATAATTTAATAATACTAACGCATAGTTATAGTTGCCAATACTAAGATCAATCATTTTTAAAAAAATATTGTTTTTGCCTGGAGCAGAAAAATTATAGTCAGGCAAAATACAATCTTGATGAATTTTAAGTACCTATGCATAAGCAAAATAATGCCTTTGTATTCATTCCAATAATTATTCATTCAGATATATTTTGTAACAATACGATGCGTTCCAGTTTAACAAATTGACTGCCACCCTACCAATTTTGCCGATCTTGCCTCGAACGCCATCCATTGTTTCAACTCTTAAAAAGTTTTAAAATGTCTAATTATGTTTTATAATTTATCACTGACCAGTAGATCGCCCTTGCTACATGATATAAGTAATCGTAACAACATGATATTGTGATTTTTTCAATAATTACATTTAAATTAAGTTTAATGTTTGTGTTACTTCATACAAGTCTACATTATACGTCTTTTTTAATGAGTCGACGAGGCATTTTCGGTTTATACATGACTAGAGGTCGGATTTATATTCTTTTAAAATCCTTAAAATATGATGTTTTTATGTCACTTAATATAAGCAATATATTCTCTTAATATTCCTTTAAAATACCAGATATATGATGTTTTATGTCCTTAAATATGCAAAATATTCTTTTGATATAAAAAAAAAAAAACAGTTTAAATTAATTTTTTATTAATTTGGTTTTAAAAATATTTAATTAAATTAATTTTACAATAACAATTAATTACTATATATTGTTCGATGTATAGTCGTGACAGCTAACGAAATAACCGTTGTGCTTTCGCAATCGATAAGGAATACCTGGAGATTAATTTTTATTAAAATCCGGAAATAAATCATTTAGTGAACATTGTATTTATCAAATGCTGATATGCGTGAAATATGTTCATTATATGCCGGGTATCACAAAAATATTCCCAAATATTCTCTAACGTGTTAAATATTCTCTAACCTCTAAAATATGCTTTTTTATGCAAAATAAATTTTTTCCTGTGAATTCTGTGTTTCGTGATTCGTAAAGATTTCTCACTCCCATTTAACTGCATAAACTAGAAACAAATATGTAAAATCATAAAAATCCGACCTCTATACATGACGTTTAATATAAGAAATGTAACAGCAGGTAGTGTTTTTACATTAATTGGCTCAGATGTGTCACAAAATGTATTCTGTATAATCTGTAACTTGGACATAGGTAGCTTATTGTTAAAAATTAACAGTCCACAGGTTCGATTTACTCAGTACATGGCGTATAATTTATTTTTTAGAGACCTACCGACGTACCTATTTAAGTCTCATAATAAAATATACATAACATATTATCATATTTTGATAATTTTTAGTGCATATAGAAATCCACGCTATTAGTTATTACTAACTTATTACAAGTACCTTTAGTCATTAACATGCAAGTGTACAACGTGTATTTTGTAGTATTTATTATACTAAAATACTTCACACTTGGAAGATTTTTATATTTTTTAATGTTTAATCTTGTGTTTTTTTCAGTGCATTTTATACAGCACATTCAGGTTTTTAAGTTAATTTTTAAGGTTTTTTTATTGCAATAAATTCGCTGCCATAGTATTACACAAATGGAATATTTTTAATTTTTTTAATGATAAAAATATTGAATATTTTTTTAAATTTATGGTATTTGATGTACCTATATAATATGTAAATAAATTGATTTAATTAACAGTAATTAGATTTATATGTAATAGGTACCTATATGTTTATCTGAGTTCTGGGTATTTACATAAATATTAGAACTTCGCATATTATTTTATTTGACCTATGTGAGAATATTACTTGGTATATTTTATCGTTTCGGGAGAAAACATCCTATCGCTACTTTATATTATTAATTATTATCGAAGTTTTATGTCTTCACGTAAGTATTTTTTAAATAGTTTCACATAAAAAATCAATGGAACTCAGATCATTAGGTATTTTATTTTAATACGCAAAACAATTTGTGTGCATTATAATTTATAAACTTCCAATAAAGGTAATTTAAAAAAATTGTAAGAATACAATAGTAAAATAACGCTGATTGTATTTGACGATGTTCAGTATAAAATATTCGAATGCACGATCGAATGACTGTTGTTTTTGCATTGTCTTTATTAAGCTGAAAAATAAATAAATAAATAATTAAGTACATACTACACACTTGCTGAATAATGTTTTTTTATCAACTGTTTAGTATTATTGTTATTTTTTAGTCGACGATAAAATCAACTTAATGTACTGTAAGTTGTAAATACTATACTAATACACTGGAAATTATTTATGATATACAAATATACTATTTTGATTGTCCTAACTTCCTATTTACTATTTAGATAATACGATAAGTTACAAAAGTAGGAAAGCTCACTTGGCGAGTGATTAGCTATAAGATTTTAATAAAAATTTTTTTTGTGAACATTAAAGTATTAAACATTTGTAGATTAAATGATCGGTATAGTACCAATAGATGATTTTTTATTAGGTGTACGTTAGAGATGTGGTATAAAATGGTACCAATGAGGTATTATACACATGGTATATATCATGGACTTATCATACCACATTACCATGCTTATACCACTATTCACGTCTGTTGTTTATAATAATTATACACGAAAGTTTGTGTGAAAAAACATCGTATGGGTACTGGTTTATTAGTCACATATTTTTATAGTGATTTACTCGTATATATAGAAACAGTGATGAATTCAAGCCTAGGACCCCAGTCATGTCCAAGTTGGAAGAGGGGCACCACAATATTTATTATGAAATTAATTGAGAAATTATTTATTTATTCATTTTTTTTATTGTAAGAAAACAAAAGACCCTCGGCTACATGGGTCATTGGGCTTACAGAATATTTGTTTTTTATATCAAACTAAGGGTCGACAAGTTCATTTTCAACTTTTTAACTTTATGATGTTATTGTTTTGAAAATATTTTTAAGTGCCTAGTAAAACAATATATTATTATCATTATAGTATTTTTTTATTTTTAATTTATTACCTTCTAGCAGCACTATTTACAAAGCTAGGCAGTTTAATAATTTGTTTTATCAAACGAACGATTGACAAGTATATCTTTAACTTTTGAAATTGACGATATTATTTGGTTTTTAATACATTTTTAATTAACTAGAAAAACAATTATAATAATTATTGTTTTTTAAAACTTTTTCTCAGCGTCTAGCATTACTATTTACAATGCTAGTTAATGATTTTATTTAACTTGTTTAGTTAAGTTAGTCTACAGTGATAATAAAATGTTAAAAGTTTATTTAATTATTGGTTAACTTATTTGAATTAAAAGTTTATAAGTACTCAATTTTTTAAACTTTTATTCAGTTAAAAAAATTAATTTTTTGTTTTGTTCAAAACATTATTTTAATATTTTTCCAACGTAAAACTATCTATAGTATTTATTTATACTTTATAGTAGTTGTATATAGTACTTAATTGGAGTTTTTCGTCAATAAAAAAAATAATTCACACTAAACATTACCCTGAATAATTTTTGACTTGAAAACAAAACTAAAATGCAATAAAATAAAATAAAATCGAAAACAATAAACTAATTAAACATCTCGAAATGAAAATGTAAGTATTTAACTGAATGATTTCAAGTTAAAATAAAATTAGCTTTTTGTTCGTTAATGCCCAGCCTTGCAGTATTTAATAATTCAATAATTTCAATGTTTATAGCGTGCTCCAACTACTAGTTTCACGCTACGTCACTGTAAGGAATTATCGTTGTTAGCTTCGTTGATCTCAGTCTACAAGTGTCTCCAGAGATTTTTTTTTTTTTTTTTGGGGGGGGGGGTCATAATTTCCGGAAAACTTTTGATTGTGATACGGGCTGAATTTGTCATTGATTTTGACTGGAATCAGACTACCGCCTTTATTGTGCAATCACCTGTTGCTGCTGGTTCCGGAACGCTTTCCGCTGCAGGTGCTGCATCGGGTGTGGCCTCGGCAGCTGGTGCTTCAGCTGGTTTGACTTCCTCGGTAGCTGCTGGTTGTTCACCTTCAGCTGGTGGTGCTTCCGCCGCTTCAGCCGGTGCAGCTGTGGCCGGGTCCGCTGGTTCCGCGGCCACTGTGGCCGGATCGGTCGGTGCCGCCGCTTCAACGGCAGGGTCAGCTGGGTCGGCCGGTGCAGCCGTTTCGGTTGCTGGGTCGATGGGTGCCGTAGGGTCAGCTGGGTCAGCGGGTGCTGCAGGGTCAGCTGGGTCAGTGGGTGCTGCGGGATCACCTTCAGCCGGGGGACCACCTTCGAGTCCTGTGGGCGTGAAAAACATAATTATGTATTATTTATAGGCTCAATTTTAGTAATTTTTACATACTGGGAACTATGATAAGTTTGTTGAAACAGGTGATACTATCACACAACTAGTGGGAACACGCGCAGCAGCGTTTTTCCGTTCCGCAACGCTCCAGAATCTCAACTCAAAATCAGACAGTTATTCCAAGTCCAGTGCCCCGGATCTTAAGACTTGGGTACCCCGTGGTGCAAAAGAAAATGTTTGGGACTTCTTAAAAAAACCCTATTATAATGTGCTCACTTGTTTTCATTTAAGACATAAGTATTTTACAATAGTTAAAAATTACATTAAAGGTTTGATTTAAAATAAATATTTAGCAGTTCAATTAATTTATTCATCCCGTGAACATCATATTTATCATGGTTGGATATAATTATTAGTTACCTATCTACCGACAATTTAATATGTCTGAAATCTTAAAAAATGATAAATATTAGGTATATTATATTTAAAATTGTTTTTTATTTATATCTATAGTAATATATCATACTGTTGTTACGGGCGAATTTAAGTTCCTACACGAGAGTAGCAGGTACACAAAATACATACGTTAATTCCTACACGGTAAAAACCAGGTACGTATGTAAGTTCCTACGCGGTAAAAACCAGGTACTTATGTTAGTTACTGCGGAAAGGGTTAAATATGTATATACGAATTTAAAAAAACAAATATATTATGATGATTAAAAAATATAATAAAAATCGTGCATTTTCACAAATAAATATCGTATAAAATGGTGATTAAAAAATGTAATAAAAATTAAAAATACATAAAATACGAAATTTTATATTTTATGAGGTTTATTTCTATAACTTAAAATTAATAACATATTCGTATTGATTAATTTTGTTCGTTGTATAATCTGAAATTTGTTTATTTATGAAATCTTCTTTTTCGGCATATTTTTTACTGATTTTTGGTTTTTCGTTACTAATTGTGGTTTTTATTTTAATATATGTATTGACTTGAAAAAGTTTGAGAATTTCAATAATTCTGTCTGTGTATAATATACATATTTAACCCTTTCCGCAGTGTAGGAACTAACGTACGTACCTGTTTTTACCGTGTAGGAACTTACATATGTCCGTGTAGGAACTAACGTATGTAATTGTTTACCTACTACTCTTGTGTAGGAACTTACTATTCCCCGTTGTTACTGTATTATAATATAAAGGTCGACGAGGTGATAACATAGGCCACCAAACCTATAGCCAAAGGTGATAACGCCAGAACGTAATGTACCAGTTAAAGACGACACTTAACAATTAATTGATGACCACAAAAAAAATTACACATACAATTTGATTGACTATGTACCGCTCTACCTCACTTTTGTCACACCTTGTGGCCATAATATAACTAAAATATTATTATAAAGTTTTTAATCACCTTCGTCAATTGATTTTTGTTTTTTGATAGTGTCTTTGACCACTGAGTTCAATAGGGGTTGTGGTATGGCCGTGACGGCAGTCATGAGTTTGTCAACTAGGTCATCGACGCTGAGCGGGTTATTTGAGCACACGGTGTCCTTGAGGTAAGCCCAAAGTTCTGGTATTAAAAAAAAAATAATTCGGTCAATATTCACATTGGACAATTATCAAACTTGATCGAAATTCACCTTCTGGCGCCGGAGACGGTGGTTGAGGTTCTGGTTCAGGTTCGACCACTGGTTCTGGTTCGAGTATCTCGTTGTCGCTTTGCGCGTCTTCCGTCGCGTCAGTCAGATCGCCCGCGACCGATTCGCCTTCGGTGGTCAAACCATCGTCGGTCTTTTCGTCTTCGGTACCGTCACCGTCTTCTCCTTCTCCCTATTTTGTTTTATTAACAGATATGAGAAAAATAATTAATTACTTTAATTAAATTGTAGTCAAAATTAGGTATATTTTCATTAAATTTAGTTTCAAACTCCACTTATAACTATATAACTGTCCGTATATGGCGAAAGAAAAAATAAATCTAGATTATTCTTAAAATATTTCTTTTTATCACCTTAGATGGACGTGCACTTACCTTGGATATTATGATTTGACCGATTATCTCTCTTCCCACACTCCAAATTCATAATATTAGGGACTGTGTTGAAGGCTTACAAGACAACTAATTTATTTCTACTACATTATATCGAAGAGGATGTAATTCAGCCTGTTAGAACTAAATATGTCTCACAATATTCTACATTCCACATACCTATCTATTTTTAAGAAAATGTCTGTAATGTTTCTGCCCACAGAAATAACTCTACGCGGTATATAATAAAATATGTAGAATAAAGGCCTTAATATCAAAAATAATATTGTAATGCATATTATTAAGAATTGTAATAATTATTTAAATACAAAATATATACTCCTGGGGGGGGGGGACCTACCTATTTATACAATATAAACCATTTAAAATTAATTCAAGTATTTAACGGTTTAAAATATAGTCCTATTGCTATAATTTTATGTCATGTATCCTGGACACTACTTTAAGCATATTAATTGTCCCTGTCCATTATTTACATACACACGATAAGTGGATTTTTTATGCATGGTTGCTCTCAATTTTCCCTATAGTAAAACACTTATTCAAATTCTGGTTTTTAGAATTTTTAAGTATTTCAATAGACCACATTTTAAAATTCCAAATATTTGTACCTCTTAAGGAGTGTCAAAGGCTGCTGGTACAAACTTCTAGTTTTTTAACGAGAGCCCCACATTTTTACTATAAATTATTCAGCAAATATGTTTTAGAAAATGTTGATGGATTTAAATCAAAATTCTAACAAGTAGTTTCTAAGTTGTTAAACCGTTCATACTAATGATAATAATCTTTAAAAATGGTTTTACAAAAATATAAGCTTTATGTAATATTAGCTGAAGGTAGTACCTATTTATATCTACTTCACCCAATATCATGGAAATCATACTTAGTACTTAAAACAGTTGTATAATTTCAAAACAACTTGTTCAAATTTTGATTTAGATATATCAAAATTCTCAACAACAAAATAGCTGCTGAATAATAAAATGTGAAAAATGGTGGTTAATATTTTAAAAACATAAGTTTGCTTGCCACAGTGTCGTCCTTAAGTTAAAAAATCTCAAGTATTTGAAAATATGGTCTTCAAGCGTATTTGAAAAACCCAGAAATCAGAATTTAAATGAATACATAATTTAAGTATACAAACAGGCTGAGCATACGTAAAAAATTACACAGTAGATTTATATTAAAAATTTAAAACCATTAATGATAAGTTACAACTAATGGGTCAGCATTTAAATTATGAAAAAACTACGAACTTCAAGCTTTTGGACAAATCACCTTTTTAAACGTCCAATAAAAAAATGTGTTTAGATGAGTACCTTATACTGTGTTTGATCGAGTATGATACAATATAAACTATAAAAGATGAACTATTGTAAAGACCAAGATAAAATATTATATTGTATATTATGTCAAAATAAAATTAATAATTATGGATTAAATATCATCTGCTTTGTTGGAACGATGGAAGTTTGAACTAGTTAAGGGTAGTGTTAATAATTGCACTAATAATTAGAAACTTTTCTTATTTTAAGTACATTTAAAAAACTTAAATTAGGTAAATATTGTAAATATTGTTTAAAATAAGTATTAAATTGTTCGATGATTGAAAAATAATATTATTTTTAAAGGGGTCATACTTTCACGTACCTCATTCATTAATTATTTTAATATTGTTAATAATACGTGAAAAAAAGCAAAGATCGATTTTTTTTATAAATAATATTATATACGTAAGTATACACTTAACAAGGTATTTTTTTTACTACGCCTATTACGGAAGGAGACAAAATAATGTTGTGCTTTTATAAATAAATAATATTTATTTTCTAAAATAAATCAGCAGTCGTCGTTGACCTAAAAAAATACATTTCCTCGGCGTCTGGTCTCCCACCCGAAAATTTACTCAGTCATAAATTTTTTAGTAATATGATATATGACGTAAGTACTGGGAATTGGAAACACTTATGAGAAAAAAACAAAATTCTGGCTTCGAGCCATCAGTGTAGGATATGCGAACATTGTCTATAATATGGTACCTACTGCTCTGCTCGCATAACTCTTCAATTTTTCCACACGAAATTGTCCGTGTTCCCACAGCTCTCTTACAACCTAATCTCTACGAATACTATACTTCCTTGCTTTTAATTTCTGCTTTACTATTATGTTATTAATTTATCATCTTATTGTCTTACAATCGGTTGATTTTCAGGCAAGTTCCAAAATCTCTCTTTTCATTAAGCGTGTTTCTACCGAGCATAATGGATATTATTGTTTGTAACCGATACCAAGTTATTGTTTTTTTTTTATTTTAATGCACCCATAGACCGCTATTTTTTTGGTTTATTTCTTCTTAACAATTATTAACATCGTGTTTGTACATCTTTCTCAGCAGCTATCACATAATAAATAATAATACAATCACCCTAACTATAATATTCACTGCAATCATAACTGCTTAAAAATTATTTGTCCTCCAGTAGGTAGGTACCTCTATATTTAATGTGTTAGGTATAATATTATATTAAATTAAACAAATATTCTATTTACCTGAATAGCAGTGACGTCAATTTCAATTTACCATTTATTTGTAATATTGTGTTGTTGCAGACGTGTTACATACAAAAGGGCAACATTTAATAAAGTATTGAAGGAATCCTCATAAACGGCAAACGTTGAAAATATTGTATAAAATATAACCATAAAAAAACTCAAAGGAATGACTGAAGTAGGACAAAAAATTGTGTTGATTCATGCATGACGTATAATATATTACATGCTATGTAGGTAGTTGATGAAATTAGAGATTCCAGTAAAACTGTTTGAACGGCTACATATAATAATATTATTATTTCCATTATTTGTGAATCGGAAAAATGTTCTTGGATAAACACAATTATGGAAATGTCAACAGGGGTTGATGTAATTACATCAGGTTCCATTCATTCCAGGTTTTTCACACTGCAATGAACCGTATGAAACATTTAAATCGGTAGTAAAATTATTAAATAATAGTTACAACAATAGAAATGTTGAAAATTATGTAAAAATCGTCGTTTGGTCACTGAACCGAAACGGGCAGGTAGTAGGTAGGTATATAATATTATAATTTCTGTGAATTGTTATAAATTGAAAGGGGTTTGAGAACAAAGTGATTTTTTTAGGGATCATACAAAGGTTGAAAGACACAAGGTGATTTTTTTAGGTTTGTTAATAAACTTGTACACGAAATAACTTTAATGAGACATTTATGATCTGTCATGTTTGACAACAAATATTTTGGTTATAACAATTACATGCTGGTGTTGAAAGAACATAGAATAATGAAAATAAATAAAACTGGGTAAAAATATGCAATTCATTGAAAATACAATGATAAACTTCGTTCGAGGTCATTATGCCTCGTATTCCACTTCTTCCTTTACCTTCTTTTCGTCTCCTTTTTTGGACCAATCGGGTTTTTTCTGTTGCAACAAAAAAAAAACAAAAAAAAATTTTATTCAGTAATATGTAAAATCGTCTGCTATATATATACCTAACACAATATTATTTAATTTTATCAAAAAAATAATATTAAGATAATATTACGTACCTCTTTGTCTTCTTCTTCCAAGGTGAACTCCTTTTTCTTTACTACTTTCAGTTGGTTTCGGAAGTTGAACTCCGCCGCTTTCTTTTGGAGTTTTGCGAATTTGTTTTCGTATTTGGAAACCTTCTTCAATGTTGGTTTGACGCTGAGAGAAATAATAAAAAAATGTAAACAAATACACGAACAAAATATAATAACATCAACTTGACCACTGCAGATGTTATTCTTATTATACTCACAATTTTCCTCGTAAGTCATTGACTTGGCTGTTCAATTCGCTGATCTAAAATATTAAAAATATTGTTTAAAAATACACAAACGTCGAATAATATTTTAGTCGTTGTTAAAATCATTTTTTTTTCAACACAAATACGACAAATTTCACATAGCAAAATAATGCAGTAAGTACAATATTACTATAAACAAATGCAATTTCAAACAAAAATGGTTATCATTAGGCGGCGGGAGTTATTGTAATAAGTAGGTACGTATTTAATATATTTTCGACTTTTGAAATTCAAATTTTGTTGTTATTATAATAATAGTTCCCTACTTGGTACTAAATAGGTATTGAAAATACCTCAAATATATTTTTAAACATTGCGAACATATTTTATTTCGTCGTGTTTTTTGTCTCTCTTTAATCGACTGGAATACGAGTCTTAATTTCAGTAGAAAAATGAGGAATTTTCACAATTATGCAGATTAATGTTTTGTCTGTAATATTATGTTATCGGGTCAAAAATATTATAATTAAACCGCGCCGAGCTTGCGTAATACTAGCTCGTTTATTTTTAGATCTAAAATTCGTCAGTGTAAAGCGAAGTTCTGGCGCTCGCGAAAAATAAAACATACAACGTCGATGATTACATCGTTGTCTATATAATATTATAGCCTTTGTTTTTTACCTACCGACGAAATAATTTCATTATACAATTATTTACTTCTGACAAAAACATAATATACGGATGAGACCTTTGATCTCTGTCGGCGAACCACAGGCGAGGACGACGCAATAAAGCTCGATTTAATTAAACTATATTCGAATGTCTGCGATTAAATAAAATATTATATTGCTCGAGGAGTTAATTGCTTTGTGGGCTATAGTTCAAACATCGATAGTATCGGTTTATTAAGCTCTCCGTGTTCTATTATTATAATCGACTATCAATGTTTTATACCTAATAAACGAGTTTAATGAAAACGAATACATTTACATATGTTCACTTAATATTGTAATTATTAAGCATCGCCCTTTCAAAACATGGAGTTCGAATTCAGAAGTGGTCTGCATTGCTATCAGCTCTATAACAGTGATTCTAAACTTGAGGGTAGCTAATAATTATGAATAGATCGCCAAAAGTTTAGTTTTAAAAAATATGTGAAAAGTATAGTACCTGTGTAGTTTCAGTATAAATTATTGCAAAATTAAGGGTGGTGGGGAAGGGTGGGTATAGACATTGAATATTGTTTTCAAAATGATCGCATGAAAAATTGGGTAAATATATCTTGGATCACCAACACATAAAGGTCGAGAACCACTGCTCTAAGTGCATATAACACAATATATAATTATTATGGTCGGAAAATATGAAAAATATCTTAGGTAATATCATCGCAAGAATACGGTGTTTGAATAACGGCATTTCCCTATTTGATCGTCTGTTAAAGTTCTACCGAAATAATAATGATCGTAGGGTATTGTATGACATGGATCAAAAACAGGCACAGAGTGTGATGTAAGTGTTATGACAATTTACTAGTTAAATGTTGACCATCACTATAGACACTATTTTAAGAATAGTTAACATAAATGTTAATATTAAAAGAAAAAAAAACCAAAAAAAAATTAGTAAAAAATATCAAAACTTTTTTTAAAAATAATTCTGTAGGTAACATAACTAACTTAACATTATCGTGCATTAATGTGATTTGAAAATATAATTATTGTGGTATTGGAATTTGAGATAAAAAATATTCCGATGACGCTATCGTCGGGACACATGCCGTGCGGGTAACGGGTGTTGCACGAATTACCTCGAACACTTTCATCCTGATATCTCTTTCCAAGTCAAATTTTATGCCCTCTACGGTGTAAACCCGTTTCCATAGTTCTTCGCAGATTTCCGAAAGCTCCTCTAAACATCAATATTGTAAAATAGTAAAATAGAAAAGTAAGACGAACACCGCGATTTGGACACGATACAGTATATTAAAAACGGGTACGTTTTTAGACGTCATCGGGGTCTGTATAATTCGGGATGTATGAATTGATATTTATTTTTATGATTTTACATTCGAATTTCGATGACTGCGGGTTATGTACCGAAATCAGCAGAACTGTGATGGTCCATACCACGTGATAAGTATATATCATTCGTAAAATCAAAAATAAACCAGAAAATCGTGAATTTTTACGCCGTCGTTCGAATGCGATCTGAATGCTCTGCGTGTTATATGATTATTATTATATTACGCTGTGCGCGTACTGCCCCCGTTTTGGCAACGGTATACAGAGTGTGGTTTTTATTTTAATTAAGCGTTAGTGTTAACGTTGGCCCGCGGCGCGTGCATAAAATAAAACGTCAACCTCAGTCCACAGATGCCCTTGTGTGTAGTTGTGCGTTCGAAAAGACTTTGACGTCAAGCCAAAAACAAACCGAGACGACCAATATAATATAGGTTGATGTGCGTAAGACGGACAAAATATTATAAACTTAAAGCTGCAGAAATAGTAAGGCTTGTCCCGTGAAAATGTCTTGTTGTCGAAAGTCCGAGAAAGCACAGACGAAAAAGCTGCAGCTGCGTACACTATATCTTAAAGCGCATAATATTTAAATTCCGAAAAGCTCGAAAAGCGTTTAAGCCAAGACGTTGTACTATAGTAATAATAATATGCGTATTGTTGTTTGTGGTCAAGCGGTAAAACGACCGACGACCGTCTAACCTCGAAATCTTTCTTTTTCACGACGTATTCCAAGTCGAACTTTTGATCTTCTAATTTCGTGATCCTGTCGTAATACTCTTTGATCACCCGTTTGATCGTATCTATATCGTTCGCGAAGCGAACAGAAAAAATGAAAACAGTTATGACAACGATTTAGGTTACACTCTGTTCGTTCATGTCTCGAACACGCTTGCAGCGTGTAAGTATAACACGGGTGGGTATACAGCCGTGGCGTCGGCTCGTCGCCAGAAAATCACGTAGGATTGTCGTCTAAGAGCTATTTTTTAATGCCTAATAGTAATAAAAAATTTAATCGTTTACCTTCGCCGGCATCGTCGATGTTCTTCGGTTGTCCGCATCGCTCTTCGATGATCCGTCTCCTTTCGGCAGCTTTGCGTTCTTGTTCTTTCTTCAACTCTTCGGCTGCCTTTTTTCTCAACAACAGCTGTGCACACGATCAAGACAGAATAGATTAGTGACAAGCGGATGAGAATAAAATTAATTTAAATCCCAAGTCTCCGAAACTGCAATATTATATTCAACGCCGCTAGCTCAATTCCTTATATTATAGGCGTACTTACACGGAGCTTCTTCTTTCTGTCTGGGGTCATGAAACCCTTCTTGGCCTTTTTGGCTTTGGACGCTTCTTCCATACGCTTGCGTACTTCGGCCCTCTTGCGGTCGATTTCCGCCTGTTTCGCCTTCTTAGCCTGCAGACAACACACGAAAAACAGAGATTAGGGTTGAACAAAAAAAACGTCGGCAGATGCAACTGGCCGGACGTGGGTTCGAACTCACTTCATCGTCGGCCATGGTTGAAGGGTTGTTTTGTGCTTTTCAAACGGACAAAAATAATCTGAAATCATTATTAAAACACCGGTGTTAATGTTCCGAAAGTATAATACCGCGGTTGTGTTATTAATAGTAATAATAAAATATAAAATTAATATGGCTAATAACGTAATCGCGTCGTATTCGAGGGAGTTTCGCACAACACCGTCGGATTGCGATTTCCGCGGACAAATGTCATTTCGACTTGCTATGCCGTTGGGATATTTTACAGCAAGTGTTAAGTTCTCAAACGACTGCCAATATCATCATATCATATATTATTATTATGTTATTATATAATAACTGCGCTCATAAAAGTCCAATCACTTAGGAAAGGGCAAAACGGCGAGGTAATATAACATAATAATAATTATTATTACAAACAGAGGTGTAATAATATACAAAATATTATATATCAATAATAATAATTTAAGTTAAACATATTATTATAATAGTAATATAATTATGTTATTTCGTGTCGCCGGGAGTTATTGAATTTACGGTGTCGTTATAAATGATATAAATGATAATATTATGCTATTACCTAAATATTATTATGCACGAGGGCAAAAGTTTAGAATAATAATATAATAGGTACAAACGAAGAGAATAGAAACAACGAAACAAAAAAAATTATAAAATTAAAACACGATAATGATATTAAAATGTATAGAGTATAGCTGACGAAGTGAAAATATAATAATATAATATTAGTAACAACAACAATAATAATAATGACAAAAATGTTCAACCTGAACTCTGGAGGGCGGCGCGACAGCTGACTTCGCAGGACTTCACCGGATTGAACAGGACTCGTCACTGTTTCGCATAGGAAGACGAGCGCGTTACACTTGACACACAACACGCCTCGCGATTGGTCGACAGAGTCGCCGTTTATTTATAGCGCCAAGCTTTTACTTTTAGCCGGACGCGGCGAGCAGCGGCCGCTCGGTGCACGCACACACACGCACACACGTTTATATATTTAAGTATAATATGTATATAAGTTTAAGTATATATATGTGTGTGTGTGTGTACCCATACACGAGCACAAGAACTTACGAACGGCGTCGTCGTACGTTTTCGTCGCCACTCGCGACCGGCGGGCGCGACGTCCCGATCTATTTTTAGACGGCGGCGTTAGCGACTATCCCGTCGAGGCCCGCGCGAATACTTCGGGTCTGTTCGCAGGTTACTATTATTATTACCATTACTATTACTAATTATTATTATTATTATTGTTATTTTTTTTTTTATTGATCTTAAGTCCGGCAAGATCTATGGCCATTGCCTATTTGTAGGGGGGAAACGTTTGATTTGAAACATGTATTTGTATGTGTGGCAAAAATGTGTTGCTAGAAACCCTGGTGGTCACCCATCCGATTGCTAGCTACGACAGCCTGCAGTCAGAGCTTTGCCACAGATTAAGCTTAAGACACCGCCTCGCTGAGCTACTTTTATTATTATTATTATTATTATTACTATTATTACTATTATCATTATTTGAATAAAAGTAAAATGCCTATTAATATAATATTGAAATATTATTATGAAAGTGCTTTGAAAATATTATATTTTATAATTATTAGTTAGGTCATAACCAGGGATGGGCTGCCGCAGTATGCAAGATATTATAATACATGTTAGATACATATTGTTTATCTTGTATCAGTTGTATCATTTGAAAATATTTGTTGATTGTGTCTAGTAGGTATTTTGTACTTAGATACTTTTTTTCGGTCTATCTTGTATACTTGATTTGTGTGTTTAAAAATACTAGTTACAAAGTATAAAGGTTTATTAACTGTTTTCTTGAAATAAACAAAAAAACAAAACATATTTAATCGTCCATATCTATGTTTGCATTGCATGACCAAACATGTAGTGTAGATAGGTATAATACAAATCGTTTATGAAATTGTAATTGTAATTTCTTTTAAAAACAAAGCAAAAACCTCACATTATAATCGATCAAACAATACGCTTTTTACATAGATTATACTGTTAGTTTGTAAAGTATTTTACTCACAGTTCTATAGGCAATCCTGTACACCTAGGTGCTTCTAAACAGGGTTATGATTTTATAGCATTTAAAATTGCATACATATGTGCTTTAATAATAATATTCCTTAAAATATTCCTAAATATGCAATCAATAATAAAAATTGGCAACAGTTGACATAATAAGACAATGATATATACTCGAATAGGTAGTTACAAAAAATAACAACGTCATGTTCATTCGAAAACACAACTAATATAGTTTAAGTACACTAGTTTACTGCAGCTTACAAAATAGGTACAACGCTTAAGACTTGTTCCACAATAATGATAATCAAAGCTGTACATGGTAAAACAGAGCAAAAATCAACAGATTATATTATCAAAGGTTTGAAATTGGAATTAAATAATACGAAATGATGATTATAAAATCAATTAATCAAATCAATTTAATTAATGATGATGCTGTTACGTCACGTCGGCACTTGGCGAGTCCGTGTGGGTATAGTCGGTTTATTTACTTAATATAATTCTTACAACTTTTACAATTAGACCATAATCAAAAATACGACCATCAAAATATGTAATTTCATAAGATATAAAAGATTATGATTTAGAAAAACAGGTTAAAAGTTCAAAAATATTTCAAAATGTAGATAAAAAATAGCATTAAAATCTAGACATTTCAGAATATACAAAAATATGCAAATTTAAATTCTAAATGTTATGTTGTTTGAATCATGAAAAAAATGTTAAGCTTGTCTACTTTTTAAGCATTTTATTAGGAATATTCGCAAATTCTGCAAAATCCCAACCCTGATTTTGACTATATATAGGAAGCAATCATTATTTTTTTCAAGTTTTGTGAAAAATATTACACTTTTCCATTTATTGGCTCACTCTGTTAGACCAATCTCATTTAAACGGTTCATTAAATTTTGCTGTTAAGAATTTAATTTCTTTTTCCTTCGAACACCAAGAATCCAGCACCATTGTTAGTCATTTGCACGAACCACATAAGTGTACCTACACTTTTTCGTAATATAACTCAAATACATTCAAATCATATATGGTTCACTAGTGTCATTATTTTGTACCTATATTATTATTATATTGTATAATGTAGTTTATTATGTTATAATTAGGGCTAGGGACTTCATGCCCTTAAAAACCTTAAAATATGCATGCATTTATGCCCTAAAGAATCAATAAATATGCTATTAAAAATATGCATTTAAAAAAAATGATATTCTTTTACAAAATCGTTAAGCCGATCATAAGGTTTTGGTTTAGGCATTTTTTATTATTTTATTATGGGCTCACTCGAAAGAAAAAAACACTTCACGACACCAAAATGCGAAGAACGCACGACACCAACTGTCAACTCTTGCTATTCTGGGGATCGTTTGGCCTCTATCTACAACCAGTCATAGTTTTTTTGGTATCATTATCGGCTTATCGCCTATCGGGAATCACGAGTGTGGTATACCGATAAATAACAATACAGTTATAATGATAGGCAAGAAAAACGCAAACATTAATTTTTGAATATTTATATCCCGTCCAGGAAATCTATTTAAAATACGATTTTTTTATAAAACTAAAAACTCACTTCTCGTATAAATAATGTTGTCAAACATGCACTAATAAAATGAAAAATGGTCAAATATGCACTTATAAATGAAATATGGTCAAATATGCAAAATATGCAACTATAAATTTTAAATATAAACTTGTAATGCTATGAAACAAATTTCTATTTTACTTAGCTATGTTTTTAATGATTATTTAAAAACATGCAAACTCCTAGAAGTCCCGAGCCCTAGTTATAATCTAACGAAAAATAATGCATTCTATAGACCACATGTTAGGAGTATATTATTATGGACCTAATAACAATATAACATATAGTATTTAGTTTTGCGATATTTTTGAGGCCATTCTTTGAGCCCAGACGTGGAAAAAACTAATAAGTAAAAATGGCTACGTTGGCATAATATTTTGAACTTTTCAGTTAAGTTATCAGTATCAGTATATTTAAAAATAGGAAAAAATAAATGAGTACGTAGATAAATTATAAGGGTACTTCTACCGGTATTCTAAAAGATATTTTTTTAAAGTATTCATGTACAGATACGGTCATACGGATACTTGTTTTGAAAAGTATTTGAATACTTGGTAAAAAAAAGTATTTGCGTACAAATACAAAAACTTTAAGAACGATATATTCAAATTGTTTATAAAATATGTTTTTTACTTTATAAGTCAACTGAAAGGATTTTCTGTAGAGTACGTTAATTTTATCGTAATATTTATATTTGTCGGAACTTTAAAATACTTATCTGTTATATTTTTTAAAGTATTTTATTTTCGGTTGAGTCTAATTCACAATAGAAAAAAAATGTTATTTTATATTTCAATATATTTTTCATAGTTACTTGATTAAAAATAAAATAGAAAATAAATAAACTGAATAGAATAAGTATTTGAAAGTTAGTTCTTGATCTTTTCAAAAATATTTTAAATATGTGTTTGGGTAATTAAAAAGTATTTGAATACTTTAATACAAATACCTTATGACACAGAGAACGCGTACTGATTTTTTATTCTTCGTACTACATAGTTACATAAAATCTATAATAGGTATCATTAAGTTTCTATAAACGTATGATAATTAACGATAGAAATTATTAATCGATGGAAATACTTCTTTTGTAAAGATAATTCATTTTTTCAAATGTTCTTCCTAAAACGTTGAACAAGCATTGAATATTGAGCGACAATAATTACATTTTTTTTAAATGTAGTTAAATAATAACACATTTTTGAACTTTTCTTAAAATATTATAAAATATACAAAGTCAAACTTTGTATTTAATTTCAAATTTTAAAAGACTTATGTTCATAATATTATACTAAGAATAAACTACAAACACCCTATAAAAAATCTGAATGCAAGAAGTCCCGAATAGTACTTATAACTAATATCTATAATCATAAATCACAATAAAAACAAATGCGATGTGCGGTAAACATTTTATCTCACAAAAAGAATAACCATATTGTGGAAAAAATTACAATATGTCAAAATGGAGTTACCATTTTAAAAAAGTGACAGTTTTGTGAAAGATATGTGAAAAAACTGTTACCACTTCAATGTGCTTTTTGCAAAGGTGTTTCGAATTATTCATTTTCCTCCTCAATTGCTTGCAATTTGCAGGGCCCTTTGCATAACACAGAGACCAACGGCAGAAATACTATTTTGAAGTTATGGACAATTGTAAACAGCTTAAAACACGACATTTATCAATTATTATATCTTATTATAATATGATAATATCTTTAAATAATAATACTTTTTATTATAATAATTATATTAATATAATAAAATATAATTTATACAATTAATGATATTTTATTTATTTTTCACAATAATATAATATGATGTTATTAAAAATAATGCCTTATGCACTAAAGATGCCGTAAAAAAAATGTAGTGTAAAAATTTGATAAACAAAATATGGTATGTATTTTAGATTTTGAGCGAAGAGATGAATGTATTGATTCTACAGTAAGTTTTGAACAATGATATTGTGTTTTTTGTGTGTCTGTAGAAGTACACAAGATAAGTAGTCGAATAGTGCTTCGATTTACAACTTCAGTATTTTCCCCGGTTGGAAACTTAATCTATTTGGTACTTCAAAGATGTCACAATAGAACATTCCCAGGAGTTTTCAAAAGCGTAAAGAAAAACTGAAAACAAATTGAATTCAAGGTTCCTCATAAGTTGTTATTATAGTAATTCAAAAATATTCAAGGCACATAGGAATCTTTTTTCATGAGTATTTAAAGTTAACACAAATCTCAAAAACTTACAAA